CCCACCGCCGCCGCCGCTCATGAGACTCGACGGCCAAGAGGCGGTCGCCATGCAGCATCAACAGGTGAGCTCAGACACGCCCCCCCCTCGCATTCAACTTTTTTAATCAAATTAGTGTGGTTGCCACTAGAGATGCGACATCGACAACAAAACATGTTCAAAATTAAAACATCGATGTTTAATGATATATCAACCAAAAACCCTCTTTTTTTATAAACATTATTTGATAGTTTAGTGATCTCTAACATTCAATTCACGCGCTACAAAATTTAATTTGCCGGTGACCGTGTATATTAATTTACAATTAAAATATAACTGAAAAAACTTACAAACGCTCCTCCATGTGCGAAATACAGGGAAATACGAAGTAAATACCAGGTCAACAGGGTCATCTCACAGCAATGAACTAGTAAACCATAAAGAGAATTTTGTTCGTGGTCAGGGATAAGTCAAGAAATTTTGTTGTCACGGAAAAGTCAGAGATATTTATGTTTATAACCTGAGAGAATTCAAGGATTTTGATGGAGTGCACGAAGAAGTCAGAGAATTTTGTTTCTGCTCAGAAAGAAGCCTGAGGTTATGTTTATAGCCAAAGAGAAATCCGGGAATTTTGTTGATATCCGGGGAGAAGTTTTGAAATTTCGTCGGAGGTTAGGGAGAAGCCAGGCAATTGTGTTGTTAACAGGGCAAATTAAGAAAGATTTCAGGGAATTTCGTGATGACCCTGGTCAAGCAAAGAAAAAGTCGGGAAGTGTTGAAAGAGTGCGAGAAGTAAGAGAGAAGTCAAGGAATTTTGTTGGAGTCAGGGAGAAGGTAAGACAAATCAAGAACTGTTGTTGTAGGACAGGGAAATGTCAGGATATTTTATTGGTGGACACAGAGAAGATACGATCATTGTTGGATAGGGAGAAGTCAGGGAGTTTTGTTGGAGGACTGGGTGAAATCTGGGGGTTATGTGTGGAGAAGTTAGATAATATTTCGTTGGTTGTAAGGAAAGATAAGGGGAAGTCGGCACTTTTTTTAAGTGACGGCAAATTCGGGGGAAGTAAGGTATCAAAAGTTCGAAAGAGACAGCTGATTTTTATCTTCGAGCCATGATAAGTCATTTTGACAAATTGTTTACCTGAGAATCCAGTGACTTAAACACAGTATTTGACAGCCGGAGTTGTCAGAAACATGCTTCCGTGTTGCCTCATTAATGAATATTTGACTTTGTCATAAGAATTCTTATCTTGGCATCGAACTGCTGTGGGTTCGCGTTCATTTCTAGCAGGTTGAAAGTGAGTTGGGTCGAAAGAGGCAGGTACTTCAAATGTAACCCTCGGCCGGAATAACTTGTTCTTTCCTTATATAATTGAGAGCTGGTTGGGCAGGTTGTCCAAGAGAAAAGATAAATTATATCTTTGCCAACGTATGTTTTCGATCTCATCCTATTAGTGATTGGTTTCGGAAAAGTGCGACAGTGCGGGAATGTGATGTATCGCGATACTTCTTCCTAAAATAGAAGGGGGCGAAAAAAAAGGCGACTTAAAATCCTTGCTATAGGGTACCATGGTTCAAATCAGAATATAAGTTTAAAAATTTGGGTCAGTTTTTAAAAGGACGAAAAGAAGATTTTTGGTGTAATAAAACCGGTTTAGGAAGGGATCGTCAATGCACATTTTCTTTTTAACGAGTTAAGTCTTGTTAAAAGATTCACAGTACAGACACACATTATTTTCAGCTAGACAAAAAAATCGTCAAGGCGAACATTCTGTGAAGAAATAAAAAAGAACAATACATAATAATGAATCTTTATCTAGCCTTCTAATTAAATGAAAATGTGAATAAATATTGAAATATTAAATGAAAAATTTAGTTAAAACTAATGGGTATATGTTGCATGCTAAAAATGTTTCTTCTCTTGGTGTTGACAAGCTAGTGTCGAAAATCTTGCCACTGTTGGGACACAAAGCTAAAACATCCCGGTCAGAGGCACTGCAGTGCCATCATTTGATGTCCTGAACCCCCTCTCCCAGTCACTTCGCTCTTAACCTAGCTGTGTAGGTAGTGTGGAAAATGCTGCCACCGTGGGGAGTATAACCCTAGGACCTCCCGGTCAGAGGCACTGCAGTGACATCAGCTGATGCCCTGAGCCACCTCTCCCTATGATTTTATAAAAATATCGATGTCGCATCCCTGACACGTAAAGAGTACGTTACACGGATGATGTGGCTGACGAGGCAGAGAGCAAGTGGCGACTTGGGTGCGTGCGTGTGTTTGCAGGGAGCCGGTGAGGCGCCGCTGCCACAGCCGCAGTCGCCCGAGGAGTTGGCGGCCCTGCCGCCGCCCACCACGCCCACCTCCTCGGCCGGCGCCCACGACGACGAGCGCATGTCCTCCTCCGTCGCCTCCGCCGCCTCCGGTGAGTACCTCCCGTCGATCCTCCCACCGATCGATCGATCGATCGATTCTTTGATCTAGAGCGCTACGACTTACTATGGTCACTAGTTGGAAAGTTAAAAACTGCATCAATCGATTAATTGATTTAAAGCGATTCTACTTATTACGGTCATTGGTACCACTGGTTGGGAAAGTAAAATCGCGTATCAATTGATTCTTCGATTTAGAGCGTTACGACTTACTATGGTCACTGGTTGGAAAGTTAAAAACTCCATCAATCGATTAATTGATTTAGAGCGCTTCAACTTATTACGGTCATTGGCGCCACTGGGGGAAGGTAAAATCGTGCATCGATTGATTCGTTGACTTATTATGATCTTTGGCATCACTGGTTGGGATGGTAAAATCGCGCATAGATAGATTCGTTGATTTAGAGCGCTACGACTTGCTATGATCATTGGGGACACTGGTTGGAAAGTTAAAAACCGCATCAATTGATTAATTGGTTAGGAAGTTAAATTCGATCATAGGTTGATCCCTTGATTTAGAGCAATTCTTACTACGATCATTAGGACCATTCTTTAAAATGTTTAAAGCGTGCATCGATTGATTGCTTGATTTAGAGCGCTTTGACTTATTATGGTCATAGGGACCACTGGTTAGGAAGTTAAATTCGCTCATCGGTTGATTCCTTGATTTAGAGCAATTCTTACTACAATCATTGGGATCATCCTTTAAAGTGTTAGTCACAAATCGATTGATTAATTGTTTTAGAGCGTTTCGACGTATTATTGTCATTGCAACCACAGGTTGGAAGGGTAAAATCGCGCGTAGATTCATTAATTGATTTAGAGCGCTTCGACTTACTGTGGTAATTGGAACTACTAGTTGGGAAGGTAAAATCGCCCATCGATTCATTTGTGCTTCGGTGGATGAGAAAATTCTGGATTGGAAAGGTAAGATCACGTGCAGTCCATGCCCCCTTTTACTGATTGTTTGGTTTGGAGCGCTTCAACCTTTAAGGTTTTTGGTAGTGTAGGAATGAAATAGTAGGATTGGAATAAAGATAAGATCGTTCACGGTCTATGACACGTTTTACAGTTACTGATTTAATGGTTGAATGATTTAGAGCAATGCAACGTATGGTGTTTGGCTTCCGTGATCGGGAAGGATATGGAATAGGTCCATGGCTCGTTTTACAACTCCTAACCAATTGATTCAGGGCGATGCAACATCTTTGGTCTTGGCGTCCGAGCTTGGGAAGAGAAAGGAATGGGAAAGTACGGTCGTGTACAGTTTATAGCCTGATTGATTCTGCATCTGCACAGTTCCCACAGATTCATTGATTTAGGGTCCTTCACTCACGCTCTGGGTTGACAAGGTAAGATCTCGCGTGATCAATGCACCGTTGTACAGGGTGCTTCTCCAACATTCTCCTGGAAGTGGTTACAGAAACCATGGATCAGAGCAGTCGGCCTGAGATTTAGATTCTTGCAGACTCTACGCGCACGAACGCACGCTCACGAACTTACTGATGGTTGTTCCCATCTTGAACCTTGCCGGTTTTCCCCACCTTTTACGCTCACTGCTACCACTAGTAGGGTGAGTAGTTCTGTTTCCTGCACAACACAAGTCTGCGCGACGGAACGCTCCTGCGGTAATTATTTCACGTGTGGTCCAAGTGCTCCTCTGTCCTACACCTAGTGCTCTTCTGTTACTTCACGTAAGACCTCTTGCTCACGCGCACATAGTCTTCCTCCATCTCCTTTCCAACTTTCCCTTCCCTTTCCTCTCTCCGTTTCTCATTGCATTTCCTCGATTCTCCTTTTCCTTCCTCTTAATTCTCCTAGTCCGTCTTGCCTTCCTCTGTTTGCCTGCACGTATACAATTTTCAGCCCCCCCCCATTTCTCTAGTAGTGTCCTGGTCTCCAATTCCACCCTTTCTCTGTATCTTTCTCTTCAAGTATCTTTCTATCCTTACATTTTCTTTCTCTCTTCTTTATTGCCTTCTCCAACTTCGTCAATCTCTGCTATATCGTCTTGTAATATTTCTGACATTTCCTTACTTTTTGTTTTTTCTATTTTCCCTAATTTCTTTCTATGCTCATGTTTGTTGAATCCTACTTTACGCGTGTAAAACGCCTTCTTGTTTTTATTGTCTCGTTCGTATTACTTCTGAGGGATAATTTTAAAAAAATGTTAATATTGCTTCATTCCTCAAATAAAATATTAAATACGTTGGCTTATATTTACGTTTTCTTTCTGGTCGAGATAATTTCTCTAAATTAAAATACATTTTGTACGAAGAACTGGGGTTAGACCATTGATAATGTGCATTATATTCATAATTTAAAAGCTCTTTTAGAGATGAAATTACCTTTTCAGGTTTTTAAAACTGGTTTGTATATATGTTGATATTGTTACGCTTATTAACTTTTGAAAAATAATAATGGTTTGTGAATGTTTCGAAAGTCTTCTTAATGTTAAGTCTTATAAGTTGTTGAGTCGAATAAGTGGTAATTTTGGGGTAATTTAATAGTTCGAAAATTCTGTGCAAAAATGGCAAAATGATATAAGTAAATTTTTCATGACATGAGGCACAAAATGACATAAGTCACTGGTGTTTGTTAATGTTAAGAAATAGGCAAAAGGTGAATTTCTCTTGTTTATGAAAAACAATGATAGGAAATTGCTTTAAGACAAAAGCCACAGAGCAATTTTTAATGGCATTCAAAAACTTCTGTTTTGGATCTGTTTTGAAAAGTGACTTACAACATTTTTCCATCGTAGCACAGAATTTAACAGTTAAATCATTTCCAGGGCGCCTCACATTTCTTCGGTGCATTGTACCCAGCAAGGTGTTTAGAATGCAGACTGACTTGCGAGAAATCATTCCATTTACTCATAATGAGTACGCACCGCGTGCTAATGAATTCAAAGGGCTTAATTATAAAGAGGCACTACCGAAACAAATTGTTATAATGGCGCGTTCGTGTCCTGAGTGAGTAGCCTCCACGATTAGAGGTTGATTTGGGAATCAGAGTTGAATGAACGAAATGCAGAATAACGGTATTCCCCGTTAGAATTTGTCCTCGAACGGAATTATTTGCAAGGTACATCGGTTTCAGAACAAAAAAACCGTTTCCTTTCAATATTACGCTTTTTCGTACCTCTCTGCAAGGGGTATTCCAGGAGGAAATGTCAAAATTCCACCACGTAACGACGAAAGGCTTATTAAGACTTGTGCCATTAAAAAGTTATAAACGTAAATCGGGGTTTTCAACACTGAATAAACACACAGCCTAACAAATACAACCACACTGCAATAACATACATGCTTTCATGGACCATATTTACATTTTCACATCAGTTAATATCACCTACATATCTTGTTGTCATCATTTTGTATAGAGGTATTTTGTATATTTAGAGAGTCATTTCATATATACATGGTATAAAGAAACTATATTGTTTTGTCGTGTTTTAGATGGTTCGTTGTTTGGAGAGGAGACGAACACAGTTGAAAACACTTGTGTAGAAGGCTCAGGTGTGGCTTATTAGTGAATAGATTTCCGGACTACTTTTTATGAATCGTGATTCAATTTTGACTATTTTAGAATCTGATAAGTGTTTATATTTGTGTTGTAGTTTATAAGTCCACAGAGAGCAATGTTTCATCAAAAATGTCTAAACCTGGCCAAAATATGGAAACCCTTAAAAGGTTGGAAATGCTGTATTTGTTTTCAAAACTAATGTGAATATTAACTATAACCTCTGCGATTTTAAATAATGAATCTTAATGTACTAAAATATTTATAAACTAATTTTTTGCTGATATTGGGCATATTGACGTACTTATGCGTATTTATCTACCACTCTTCATGTGTCAGAGTAGCATGTCATATGTCTGCTAAATTGTTTATCAATTTTTTATCCCTTGTTAAAAACGGGTATAGATTTATTAATTCCTTGATGTTGTTGAGAGTCAATAGATTCAAAACAAGAAAGACCTTTTAAAACACTAATTTTTGTCAATCAATTACACATCAGTAAAATTTATTTTGAATTGATTATATTTTTATGCAAAATGAACATGCATGTTGTCTGTTTCGATTCATATTGCGGGCATCCTCGCAATATTAACATCAGTAATAATACATTTGTGATTTCATGAGCGAAATTGGTGATTATAAATGCTTAATATTCTGCTTCAACGAAACGGCTGAATGGGAAGACGGCAGAACAGTTGCGTGAGTGTAGGTTATTGCATTGGAGTATTTTTATTATTATAGGAAAAGCCCCGTTTCGTGCAGAATCGCTTTGTGAATCACCACAATTCACTCCAATCGAAACTGAAGAACTCTCTCCTTTCGCTTACGAGCCAATTTCGCAAACTGAAGTGTCCTTGTCTAGTCTCCCTGCTGCATAAGAGGAGTGACTCTTTGCCTAGACAATGCTTTGGGGCCAACGCCCCCTGTTGGCTGTTCCTGCAGCTAGCAGCTATGACTTCACGGCTAATTGGCGCCCATAAAGCAAGCCCGGGTGCTACTCGAGTGTTGAAGTTGAAGGTCCCGCAACGGAGAAATAGACGTGGTTGGCTAGTGTTCGAAATGTGTTGTGGGAACGAAATGTATTGAAAACGTCTCTTTAACACGCCGTGAAACGAAACGCTATTTCTCGTATTTGTTTTCCGTGTGCGAAACAGCTAATTTTTTCCCAGTGTGCGAAACATCAAGAAATGTGTGTAAAACATCTGTAACGATTCGCAATTGTCCTTCGTCTTGACGACGTCTTTGTTTATTATTTACAAACATTAATATTACGACACTGAATGTAACGCATTTATTTTCGTACAAGTAAGGTATTTCTAGTTACGTGATATTTAATTTATATTCCTTTACTTGACGCAATGCGTTTCGCTTAGGGTGTGTAAAAAAAAAATAGTATACGCAACACAGGCGCGAGGTTATTTCCGCCGTTGTCTCATTATTGTTCTCACTACGCTCGGACGACAAACTAGACTCATGGGTGAATCACCTGTTTCGTATTTTGTAGTATGTTAGGTATTTTGCATGTTAATGTAAATAGTTCCTCGTAGTACTTGCTCTTTTAAATCAAATTCACACAACCGCGTAGAGGAATGGAGAGACACCATTAAATATCGGTATCCGTTAAGGATTTGACGAACAATTGGAACTTTTAGAACAATTGGAACAAATGAATTGTAGCTAAATATGTACTTCTATTCCAAGGTTTCTCTTATAGCATGTTCCATTGGTATTCGTACATTCTATTACGAAGAAGAAATATTATGTAGACTTCTTTTTTATTACAGTGATGGGATCTTTATCCTTGCTTATTGGAGAAAATCTTATTTATAATATAATATATACTCTGTATTTCGAAAAAGAATGCGTATAAAGAATTCAGGAATCAAAATATCTTCAGCTTGGCTATTCTTTCTTATTCGTACACTTGAACCATGTAGAGTGAATTTTGGCACGAATTGGCCTCTCAACTTATTACTTTAATCAGTAAAACAATGGTGCGTGCTTAGGAATGTAATAGTTACATTTGGTGCGACCATGGATTCAAGAACGGTGAAAACGCCTAAAACGATGGAACTTAATGAGGATGTGAAGGTGATTGTAAAATTAGCGCTGAGAGGTTATTATTTCATAAAAACATAGGAATAGTGGTGAACAAATCGCATTCCACTGCCCAGTTTATAGTAAACAAATTTAAGTACAGAGTAGAAACCAAAAATGCCAAGAGGAACTGTAGAAAAACCTCATCCTGAGTGAAGAGCGTTTAATTGCGAGAGAGATTGCACGAAAACCTACATCTGCAATCTCTAGTTGAGAAGGTGAGTGGACGTGCCTCTACAATTCGAAGGTTGTTATAGACATAGGTAACATGGAAAAGTTCTCCCAAAACAGCCTCCTGTTAGCTGGAAGAGCAGGGCTGAACGATTAATTAACACTTGAACAAGAACAAATAAGTCTGGGACAATGTATATGATTGGATGAGACTAACAGTTTTTGTTCAGACAGCATCTATAGTATGTGGAGAAAAATAAATACTGACAATGAAGAGACAAAAACTCTTCCCACTGTGAAGCACGGAGGTGGATCTATTATTTGGAATGTTTCCTATCAAGAGGAGTCGCAGATATTAATTTCATACAAGGCATTATGGACAAACATGTTTATCACGACATCCTGAATAGAAATTGAAGCTAAGAGCTGCAAACGTGGGTATGGCGCCGATTTACAGGTTCCAACATGACAATGTAAGCCAGCATTCTGCAGGAATTAATAAGAAATAATTAATACGGAATGTCCCCAAACACAACTCCAAATACCGATAAAATCTCCAGACTTGAACCTCATCGAACATCTATGGGCAATTTTTAAGAGGAAAGTTCGTGAAGCGAATGTATCCTGTAAAGCTCATTTGGAAAAACAACATAGCAGACGAAAGGATGAATTTCACTCGTCAGACTACAGACGTCTCGTTACATGTGCTACTGTGCAACGAAGATGTCATGATGAAGATGTTATAAAATCTAGAGGATACCCCCACGAAATATCAGAAACATTTTATTATCAAGGATTTTGTGGATACAGTAATCTGTTGAGTATACGAATAGTAATGACACAATATTTTCTCCTTGTCGGGTATGCGATTTCGTCAGGTATTTATTTGATGGCGTCGGGTATCAAAAATATTTCATGGAGGCGCGTTTTTGATTTGTCGGGTTTTTGATTTGTCGGGTTTTTGATTTGTCGGGTTTTTGATTTGTCGGGTTTTTGATTTGTCGGGGTTTGTGATTAGTCGGGGTTTGCGATTAGTCGGGGTTTGCGATTAGTCGGGGTTTGCGATTAGTCGGGGTTTGCGATTTGTCGGGGTGTTTGCGTCGTTGACGTCTTTTGTGGTTGGCTGCGAGGCGCAAGTCGGCCGCGCACGTCGCCTGGCGTTGGTGCGTGACGCAACGCGGCGCCTGGTGCCGCTGCCGGGGCGGCGGAGGCGGAGGCGACGTGAGGTGCGTGGGGTGCCGGGGGGAGGGCAATTGACCCACATGCTCCGCCTTCGGCCGCGCCATATGGGGGCAGCCAGGGTGATTGTCCCGGGGCGAACGCCACGCCGCGGCTTGAGCAACCGCCTGCCCGCCTTCCTACCTACTGACCTACCTGACTACCTATGTACCAAACATAATTACCTACCTACCTACCTACCTACCTACCTACCTACCTACCTACCTACCTACCTACCTACCTGCCTGCCTGCCTGCCTGCCTGCCTACCTAACTACGTATATACCAACTTGCTCACCTGTCTGCCAACCTACCTAACATCTTAGCAACACACCTGCCTACCTTCTTATCTACCTGCTTTACTGCTCTCAGATATACCAGCCCGTCAGGCTACCTACCAATTTACCTATCTTACTACCTGCTAATCTGCCTGCTTATCTTATTACCTTCCCTCCTGTCTGCCTACCTACCTAAATTCTTACCCGCTTACTTACCAGCCGCCTTTCTTACCCACCTACCTGGCTATCTGTCAGTCCGTGTGCCTGTCTCTCCTTTCTTATGTCTTCGTGTGTCTGTGAGTGTCTATCTGCTGTCTCTGCTGGTTGGATCGTGGGCGACATCTGCATAGAGTACTTGATGAAAAGGTCTCGCTAAGCACGACTTTCAGATTTTGATTCCAACTCAATGGTTTAGCGTCGCTTTACTACGAAGACAATATACTATTTAAACAAACCGAAATGGAACTTACAAAATTTCGAATCGTGCAAAATACGAACCGACAACATATTTTGTTATCTTTGGATTATGACTTGTTTATTGGACAAAAACATTTTTGAAAAAATACTTTTAATTTACGTGAAATTCAGAGTGTTTGATTAGTGAACAAAAAAATTGGACTAACCGTGTTTGTTTTAACTTCATAGCTAGGAATTTCATCTGTACATGTGTTTTTATGCACTTCTTTGAAATGCAGAGTTTCATTGTATTCGAATTTCGGCATGAGAGTTGCTTGATGTCATTAGCTTTCCAATTGCCATGATATGAAGCGTACGTGCAATGTTAAGAGGTTTCTGTGTGGACTCCAAATGAAAATTTAACTTCGATCCTTTCTTTATGAATAAAAAGCATGT